AGAGAAAAAAAACATCACATACCGTTTGCCACTTACATTTCTGTCAACAAACTTAGCTTTGACTATTTCTGCCATTAAAACTTTCCAACGTCTTCCTTTCATCAGGCGCGGACTCATAATCCGGATGACTGCGGTTACAGCAGGATGGAGGTCTGAGTGGAGGGCGGCAGCTGAGGCGAGCCAGCCAAAGCGCCGAGATATCATCACCATTTCATTAAGCGAACATCTCCGCGTTTCCGAGTGGGGGGGGGCCGTTCGGGAAGAACACAAAGTTTTTCTGCCACACCAGAAACTGCCAGAAGGACAGAAGTGAGAGGCCCTCGTTCGAGAAAAAAAAAAAAAAAAAGATTTCCTTCACTTTTGAAATGCTGACTAAACTTCAAATGAAGTGGTTCATTTTTTTTTTGGTCTTCCTACATTTTTGTTCTTTGAAAACAAACTTTTCATAAAGCGGCTGTACCACACACCATAAGAAACGCTGAATATTAGGAACCTAATGTTAAACAATAGTGATTAGTAATAGTAAATCACCGACCCTTGGCTGTTGAGAGACAGATTTTCCCGGACAACAAATCATATAGTAAGCACTTTAGATAGGGTTTGCAAACAATCACAACTGTAAAGACAAAAAAAAAGAAAACGGAGCCGTTCAGGATATGGAGCGACACTAGCCAAGAAAGGAGCTGTTTCCAATACAAAAGTGTCTAAGTGAAAGACGCACGAGGTTTGATTTTTAGCCGTCTGCCCCCAACCTGCCTCCTGCACAATTCAATAAGCTGTAAAAATGTGCTGTTATAGTTGGACGTCCCGTGCTGCTCAAGAGTAGCGTTTCGCTGCATCAGAGCTTTTTTTTTTTTTTTTTTTTTGCTCCTTAATCTCGGTTTGAACGGTGGGTGCTGGGGAGGGGAAAGGGGGAGAGTTTTCCAGTGGCACGAGCCACCCGCTGACAAGTGCTGTCCTAAACCACCAACCCCCCCCAAAATCAAACCGATCCACTTGCACACACACGCACACACACACATTCATACATACACACATATAGAGGAGTGCTCCACTTGCTAAACCCAAACAACTGCTCAGCATTAAGGTGCGGATCTGTCATTAGTTAGCTTGGCCTGGCTGGGTGAGACCGTTGTTATTGTTAAAGCGAGGGGGCTGTTTGCACAAGCCATATCTTCGGAGGGGAAACGGTACTCCTCTGTGGCTTTTTCTCTGCTCGGTCTGAGCGGATAGTGTTTCCGTTCCTTTTTCCAACGTCTCACATTGTGGTATGAGCGGCCAAACGTGCGTATTTTAATCAGCGACGGTTCGGGTTGCCGGGAGGGAGATGTGTCCACAGGCACCGAGTGCTCGGGTCTGTTTTGGAGAAGAAGTCCCGGCTAACTTTGGATATGGGTATCTTGGATGATTTTCAGGACAGATCCCTGCCTAGGGGAAATGCCACCTGAAAGCAAAAGAGGATGGAGGGAGAGGAGGAAGAAAAAAAAGTGCGACAAGAAATGGAGGAGACGGGCAGCAGGGGTTTGGGTCAGGGATTGATGACCTGCCTGGGTCTTTGCACAGTGTTGTTTAAACATGCACTGAAAAGCAGATTGGCTTTTGGTCAATAGACATCCCATGCCTGGAAGAACAGATCAGAGTGAAGTAATTGGAAGTAATTACACAACCACCATGTTTGCATGACTAGCATTTTAAAATGGTCAAAATGATTCACTCCACTAATAAGGGACCAATCTGCAAAGAGATGAAAGTCTAAAAACTATTATCTTATCTATTTGTCATTATTTTTCATTTATTTGCTGTATTCATGGGCTATTCCAGCATTTAGCATCTACAGAACAAATCGAGGTGTCAAATTTTTAGTCAGTTGAACAACATGCGACTCCGAGAGAATTTTTTCATCTGCCGTTCCCAGTTTGGAACATAATCCCTTATTCTCCCAAAGGTCCAACCAAACCAGAAGATTTATTCAACGCTTTAATTGCTGCTCCCCATGATGAATGCGTTTAAAGGTTAGAGCTGGCGACATGGGAAACGCGGTGTTCTGAGGGGCATACTTTTCATTATCGCGATGTGGACGTGAAGAGGGACTTTACAGTGAAAAGAGTCAAAGGTTTGGCTAAATCTACTCCCTGACAGTATCCAAACGTTCTCGCTCGGCAGTGTATGGTAGCAGCTTTAAGCCACAACGAAAAACAAATACAAAAATAAGCACATCCATTGATGAGTTTTCTGCTATTAGATTAGAGAGGCTAAAATAAATCACCATAACAAAATGTAACAAACCGTTAAGAAAACTTGAATAAAAGTTTTGCTGACCATCAAATAATTTATTTAATGTATTTCACTCCTATCTATCTATCTATCTATCTATCTATCTATCTATCTATCTATCTACATACTTATATATCATTATATATATCAATCTATATATCAATCTATATATATATATATGTATATATATACATATATATGTGTGTGTGTATGTGTGTTGAGGTGTGTGACAATTCTAGATCTTCTCTGATTGTCTGTAACCTGTTGCACTTCATTTCATTGTCGCTATTCTTGTAGCATGTTTGTGATTTCTGAGGAAAATTGGAACCAAATCTGTGTCTTGGCATCATAACCAGGTCCCTTTAAATACCGATTCAGTGACTCCTAAGACATAAGCACTGGTTTGATTTAGTTTAACCGAGCTTTAAACTTAACTTTAAACCTATGCTCGGTTAGGAATTGGAGGGTGCCGGACCAAAACTGTCCGGCCGCTTGTCAAGCTGGGCCAGCTGGGAATTTGAACTTTTACTGATCAGGGTTGGAGAAAGTTGAACCGGCTCTGCTCCTTGCCCGCTTAAAACTTGCAGTGTTCCCTGTACGGCAAACCGCCGTTGGGCGTATTAGTCGATAGCATCACAGTGTTTTCCCGCACTGTGAGTCCACGTGTTCACGCCTGTGGTGCTCTACAAGCAAACACGGCTGCGTTCGGTGGCGTTGTGTAATGGCGGCGACATCCCACGAGCCATTAACACCGGGCCAAACGGCTCCCTTCTATTTGTGTTCGAGCTGAATATCTCAAACAAGCATGTCTTGTGTAAATAAACTCCCGGAGGAACGACGATGTTAGGCCTCAGTGTTTGAACCACGGGCCTAATTGGTGGGGGACAGCAGGAATTACCGAGTTATTCAGAACTTTAGCTTGTCCGACCGAGGGCAAACAAGCAACTTAGCTGCGTTACGGCGTCCAGACGGTCAATGTCTGTGCTGTAAACGAACATGGACAGAAAGAAAAAGCAGCAGGATTTGTATCTATTTCAGAAGGCGTGTGTGTGTGTGTCTGTGTGTGTGTGTTTGAGAGAGAGAGAGAGAGAGAGAGAGAGAGTGTGTTGGCGGCAGGGTGAAATTAGCCCTACCTGACATCTGTGAGCTATTAAAAGCGACTTCAGGTAGCACATGTTGTCCACATTAGCCTGAACTGAGATTTACATTTCCACATCTCCACAAAGCATAATAAACAATCAAAGGGGGCGTGCACGGGCTCGACTACCACTGGCGACCACAGCAGGGCGAGCACTGCGTTTGGCCCACGGAGAGAGGACAAAGGGAGCGTGTGTGTGTGTGTTTGTGTGCATGTGTGAGGACTCCTTAAAAACTCAAAAATCACTCATAGATGATTAATGTAGCTGTCAGCGGTGGAAGGTAAAGTACACTTTCTAAACTACTCAGCCTAAATGTCGGGCTCCTATATAGATTTTTTACACATTTCTACAACTTCTCGGCTGATATGTTGTGGATTTCAGATTTAACAGTGAAAAGATAGCTCATATCGACATCCTTTTTATAAAAAAAATTGGCTTAAAACCAGCTGTAGTGATTCCACGGTGAGTTTTACCTCACAGCGTAACACAACACTTCCAATGTTCACAATTTTATGAAGACCATTGTTGTGTTGGGGGGGGTTAGAGAATTAAATAATGTCCTGTAAAACGTCAGAGAGGCTGAACTGAACAGAATCTGCAAGTCACCGGATTATTGGTCCACTGCAAACGAGATGAACGATACAAATCAGAAGCTGATGTTTGACAGCAACTGTTGCTCTGCAGCCTGCCCTCCCCTCCTCTTCCTCCTCCTCCTCCTCCTCCTCCTCCTGCTGCTGCTGTTTCCTGTGAGGGGGATCCAGGTAAGCCTGAAGGGGTTTGTAGACTGCTGTCTCCCCCTGTTGACTAGTTCTCGTAACTGTGTGTGGGTCCAGACAGTTGGGAGAAAGTTAGAAAATATGACCAAAGCTGCCATAGATTTGGGCGTCCTGACAAAATCATGCCCTCCACCGTTTTCTTTATTTGCTCCCCCACTTTCCCCATAATGTTGTAATTAAATGGTTTCTTTTTGCCATTATTATGAACACTCAATACACTGTTGATAACTACCCTTAAAGTCTCTGCACTGGACTTGAAGGTGCCTCAAAAACAGATATTGGAAAATCTTGCGGAGCAGAACACAGCGCACAGAGGCTGGTTGGCAGAGTGCGCGAGTGTCAATTAGGGAAATTTGTGTGTGTGTATTTTCTAAGCTGACTCTTGAGAGGAGGGGGGGAGATCGGATCAAATTCCTCTACATCTGCGTCACGTGCTTTCGGCCAATGGGATCTGGGCTTTCCCCCCCGAACGGGGAGACTTCTATAAAGGCCTGCTTGCAAAAAGCTCGCCGTTCAAAGCACACCAGCCTTCTGAGGATTGTACTCGAGGACCAAAAAAAAGGAGGAGCACTTCTGCGTTTCATTCTGCAGAGTTGAGGGGCAAGCTCTGAGCAGCTGGCTTGTCTTGTCTTGTTGCACGCGCGGAGCAGCTATCAGAGAAAAAGCACCAGCCAGGGAGTCAGTGAAAAAGTCGTGCGTAACGACCATCGCTCCGCAAATTGGGTTTACGCACGGCACCGGAGTGACAAAGATTCTTTTTTTTTTTGTTTGCAGTATTCTCGACTGCACATAAAAAAAGAGAAAAAAAAAAACTTTTCCTAAATCTGACTAGGTAAAGTCAGGTTAGAAGGCTTTTTTTCTCAACAGAGAAAGTAGTCCTTCCTTTTGATTTCACGCGTAATTTTGGCACCGATCAGTTTTTCGTATGAATCTCCTCGACCCCTACTTAAAGATGACGGAGGAACAAGACAAGTGTCTCTCTGATGCCCCGAGCCCGAGCATGTCCGAGGACTCCGCGGGCTCCCCGTGCCCCTCCGGTTCCAGTTCCGACACGGAGAACACCCGGCCGTCGGAGAACGGGCTGCTCCGGGCGGACGGGAGCCTGGGCGACTTCAAAAAGGACGAGGACGACAAGTTCCCCGCCTGCATCCGCGAGGCCGTGTCCCAGGTGCTCAAGGGCTACGACTGGACCCTCGTGCCGATGCCCGTGCGCGTAAACGGATCTACCAAGAACAAGCCTCACGTGAAGAGACCGATGAACGCCTTCATGGTGTGGGCGCAGGCTGCTCGCAGGAAGCTCGCGGATCAGTACCCGCACCTCCATAATGCGGAGCTCAGCAAAACTCTGGGGAAACTCTGGAGGTACGTATGGATGCGTTTGGTACTTTTACGCACCACTTCTGGATGCACTGCATGGATTTCAGTTTATATATATTTGGATGCATTTCCGACTAATTTTCTCAAGTAACTTTATCAGTAGCGTAATGTTAATGGTGCTTAATTGCTTATCATTTGCTACAGTCTGGTTCTTGCTTAGAGGCTCGTTTGCAGTAGATGCCATGATAGAGTGAAGTGTAATGAGGGTGCATTTTTACGCACAGACTTCTGAATGAAGGGGAGAAGCGGCCGTTCGTGGAGGAGGCCGAGAGACTGCGGGTGCAGCACAAGAAGGATCACCCGGACTATAAGTACCAGCCCCGGCGGAGGAAGTCGGTGAAGAACGGCCAGGGCGAGTCGGAGGACGGCAGCGAGCAGACCCACATCTCCACCAACGCCATCTTCAAAGCTCTCCAGCAGGCGGACTCCCCAGCATCCAGCCTGGGAGAGGTGCACTCCCCCAGTGAGCACTCAGGTGAGAGATCACTTTATCACAATTTGAAAAAACATTTTTTGTCTTCAACTGTTGACTATTTCAGTCAGTGTTCCAGCAATTTCTTTGTTTTCATGGATTTTCCTATATTGTATTTTTCGAAAAAGTGCCTTCTCTCATCTTGTAATATTTGTTTGTTGACTAAGTCCAAAGTCTTCAAATAATTGAAATTATCAACTCTTTTTTTTCTTTTCATCGACAGGCTCCCAGGGGCCCCCGACCCCTCCCACCACCCCGAAGACCGACGTGAGCTCGGCCAAGATGGACCTGAAGCGCGAGGTGGGCCTCCGCTCTCTGCCCGAGGGCCCCGCCGGACGCCAGCTCAACATCGACTTCCGCGACGTGGACATCGGCGAGCTGAGCAGCGACGTCATCTCGCACATCGAGACCTTCGACGTCAACGAGTTCGACCAGTACCTGCCGCCCAACGGTCACCCGGGCAACGGCGCCGCCGCCCCCCCTCCGGTCGGCTACACGGGCAGTTACAGCCCCCAGCCGGGCAGCGGCCCCTCCTGGCTGGCCAAGACCCAGACCCAGAATCAACCTGGACAGGGACAGCAGCAGCACACGCTGACCGCCCTGGGGGGGTCCGAGGCGTCCCGGACCCAGATCAAGACGGAGCAGCTGAGCCCCAGCCACTACGGCGAGCAGCAGGGCTCCCCCCAGCACGCCGCCTACGCCCCCTTCAGCCTGCAGCACTACAGCCCCCCCCCGCCCCCCCCTCCTTCCTCCTCCTACCCGGCCATCTCCAGGGCGCAGCAGCAGTACGACTACCCCGACCACCAGGGGGGAGGCCCCTACTACAGCCACGCGGGGGCGGGGCAGGGGGCGGGGCAAGGGGCGGGGCTGTACTCGACTTTCGGCTACACCCAGAGGCCCATGTACACGCCCATAGCCGACAACGCGGGGGTCCCCTCCGTCCCCCAGAGCGGCCCGCAGCACTGGGACCAGGCCCCGGTTTACACGCAGCTCACCAGGCCCTGAGAGACACGGGACATTTAAAAGCCACACACACACCATCCATCCATCCGTCCATCCGTCACACACACTAAAAAAAAGACATTCCAGGGTGAGTTTTTTCTCCCCCCTGAGTCAGACACTTGAATTCAAAAGAAGGGAGCTGGACTTGTGATTGGCTCACGCCGTGCCTTTGCTATTGTATCGAGATAGAAACATATATATTTTTTAGAGAGATGAAAAGACTTAAGATCCTCTGTGAGGACTCCGTTGTTGATATTTCTTGTTGCTACTGTGTATGGGTTCCCTCCCCTTTTTTTTTTTTATTTTCTTAATATTCCGCTAATTTTTTTTACCCAAGCGAAAGGGGGGACAATTCTTTTTTTTACCTGTAGATGGAAGAACAAACGATGACAAAAAAAAGCACAAAAAAAAAAGCTTTATATTTGAGCCAGGCGAAGATTTTCTGGTTCCTCGTTTCGATTTTTAAACAAGAGCGGTTCGTTTTTTGGTCTGTTGCTCTTTTTCATGCGCCGTTCAGCAGAAAACGGTTTGCACTGTCACACGGTCAGACGGTCATCAGAGAGACTGTCCGGCCAAACCGGGGAAAGAGTTGCTCTCACAACACTGTGCTGCCTTGACGGAGGACTTCGGCCCCCTTCCACCATCTGTGCCTTGGATTTTTACATTTTTCGAAACTCCTTGTGTATATGTGTGCTCGTTTGTGTGCGTGTGTGTGTGTGAGTGTGTGTGTGCATGGTGGCCACAGCTGAGATTACACTTACCGTCCCCACAGCGTGTGTTTGACAGCTACAGGAAGTCACCTTTAACCCCCTGGGTGACTCCTTTTCTGTCTCCCACCATGCTGGTGTCCAATACGCCCCCCTCCAGCTTCCCCCCACTTGGTTGGGTCCAGTTTAACATTTTTATTTATTTATTAGTGTTAACTTTATTTCAAAGTAATTATTTTGCATACTATTCTTATAACTAATGAGTTGTCCTCTTGGCAATGTAGACCGCATAGAACCTCCCCCCACCCCCCCCCTTTTTTAATTTTTTTTTTATTTTCAACCCAGGAGGTACTTGGATAGAAATGGTACATGCTGTATTCATCTTGTTTGTTTGGTTATTTATCTTTATCTAAATGTCTATAATAATAAGTATGTATTGTTCTTCTCTCTCTTTTTTTTTTTTTAAAGAAAAATGCATAAATAGTTTCTGTTATTTGCGAAATATCCGAAGTTTGACTGGAAGTTACAGATTTACAGTGTTTCTGTTCGGCTTTCATGATCGCCAGAAGGACCGTCCGTCCCTTCTGCGCCGCAGGCCGTTTCCTTTTCTATAAGCATCAAAAGGACTGAGGTTACAGATACTCTTTTTCTCGTCCTGCAATCTCCCCCATATATTTGTACTGTCCTGAAGGCATCTTTGTATATGTATTTTCAATAAAAAAACAAAATGATATCAAAACAAAGAGACGAAAGTCCATCATTTCCCCCCTCTGGCCATCAAAGTAATCTCGATCTTCATCATTTAAACCTTTAAACAGACAGTACAGTTAAACATTAGTCAGCAGCACACTTTTGCATCGATGCAAGGGTTAAATGTGGAATGCCAAGAGGCAGCTTGGTGTTTGTTTTCGCAGAAGTCTTTTTGTGTTTTTTCTCATCCACCCCCTCCTTTCTTCCTCTTCTCCCAACGGGGGGTTGCGAGGAGTTGGCACCACTGTTATCTATAAACTCCATCGCACTGAAGAAATAGAGACCGTCCGCCTTCCATGCGTGGAGATGTCACGAAAAAGGTCCAAGTTTTTCTGCTGGTTTTAGCACAGGAAGGATAAGATAACTCTACCTGAGATGAAACAAAAACGTCTTCTCAATATAAAAGTTGGATGTAGTGCTTACAGTTCCTAATTGAAGTTTGCTGACAGCCTGATTGTTAAATTTCAGGTCTCACATTAGACAGTGACTCATATTGGGCTGTGATATGAGGCTCTTGGCAGCTACAGAGAATCAAGTGATTTAGCAAAAACTAACCCCCAAAAAATCCTAATAGTATTAGGAGTGGATCTGGACTACTGAAACTAGGCTGGTATGGTGCTGTTTTGATAAGAATGCACATAAGGAATGCAGAAAATCATAAAAAGCACAAACTGCACCACAGGATTATTTTCAGAGGCGTTACATTCTAAATATACGGCCGATTTTCCTAATGCTGCCAAAAGAGTGGTCAACTATGAAGCTGTTCTCAATTACAAAAATGTATATACTTGAAAGATTTTGGTTTTCGGAAGTTATTTCTCCTTTCACAACAGAACCCAGGAAAGCAGGGAAAGTAGGAAATTAGGGATTCTGAGCAAACTGTGAGAAAAACAAAAGTAGATTATTGTACTCATATATGCATCTTATTTCCGTACATATGTTGAATTCTTGGAACAATACTGGATGGGAAAATGTTGTGCAATCAAGACTTGGCTTTCAGGAGCAATACAATGACTTATTTACTTAAAGATACAGCAACTGTAATTCAAAGTCAAAACCAAGTCACAGCCGAGATGGGAGATCTGATTTCATGAGCATTGTGAAGCTGTGCAGCAGAAAACGTCAGTGCGTTGAGGTAGATTGCAGACTTAAAATGACAGTCCCACTCTAATGACACTGGAAATGTTTCTAACTGCTGTTTATCAAAGCCAGGTGTTTCAAAATTTGACTCCACAACCTTCTAAAACTACATTGCATGGTTTATTTGCTCTAAACCAAAACATCCTTTGGCAATATGTGTACAGTTTAAGAACTCGAGGTTGAATATTTTGCTGCGGAAGCATGAGAAAAAGTTATTCCTGAGGCAAGAAGGGTGCCATCTTCACTGTACACAGCAAGACTTTATACGCAAAAGCACAACAATACATGCGAATGACACAAAACATGAATTGGAGGGCTAGACATACCTGTCTATTTCTAGGATGGTGATATTTCAAAAAGTTCGTGTTAAATTTGCTTCCACACAACGAGAAAACCCAACCTGAGAGAATGAACCAGCAAATAAATAAACGTCCGGTGCAAACTCATCTTTGCAAATGGATCATTCAGACGCTTAAAGAAAAATTCAACCATGTTGCATTGAGTTCTGTCACCAGATGGACTTTGGTGCCCATCAAATGTTGAAGAACACCAATCTCCAACAGCACTGACTCCAGAAATGGTTAAAACACATTGTTCTGTTCAGCAAGGAGGTCATTTACTACACATTAGTACGCTCTGCCAAATCATTTCAATTTAGAACTCAAGGGTCTTGATTTTAGAGGCCTGAGTACTATTAAAACATACCACACTCTGTGGGCATGATGCTATTTTGAGCTGTATACTTACTAACTAACTTCACTTGACATACAACTATGGATCCTGGAACAAAGCACAACTTGTTACACAACTTACACAAACAAGAGAGCCATAAAACAACAACTTTGACTCTTTTTTTAAAATTTATTTATTGAATTTACTGAATATGTGAGAGGGCAGCAGACTCCACCCCTCCTGTCCTCACAGCTGGCATCAAAAAAAGGTCAAGGAAGGGAAACGCTGACTGATGTCACGCTGCAGAGGGACCAAACACCACGTTCTTATGATGTGGATTATGTGTTAGGCGACACAAAGTTTTCTTATTTATTGGAGGCGGCTCATGAACACTCAATTTATGCGAGGCCGAGGACCCGGAGCCAAGACTCACTCTGTGCCGCATGAGTGCAGTTGGACCTCACGGCTCCGTCTTTATGATACAAATGAACGATTCCATTGATCACAGCTGCCGGTTAATGAAAGCCAACTTTGGATAAATTCACCAAGTTTAATCATTTAGACACGAGGGCCTTCAACAGGTAGTCAATGATTGATGTAAACTGCTTCTGTCTTGATGGCTCAAACTTCCTTGGTTGTTTTTTTCTTTCTGTTTTTTAAACTTTAGACTTTAGACAACATTAATTGGAATTTCTGCATTTGAGAAAAATGAAATGAGATAAAAAAGGTATTGTAAAAGTCTAAACTTGCACATGTAGAAGAAGACAAATTTGGCAAATGACCGCTGACTAAAATAACTTTTAAAAAGTGTGAAGCTATCTGAGGGAAAAATATATCCCCATTGATTAGGTGACACAGTTCATATGTCTTGATATTGGAAAGCCTTGATTTTTACAAAAGGAGTTAAAGTGAAAAGCCAAAGAGCTTAAAGATCTGGCCCAAAATGCCGATCTGAATGAGGCTCCGCTCTATTTCTCCTCTGCCGTACCTCCCAACCTCCTGGTGTGGATTTCTTAGCTAGTTAAAACTGGTAGAAATCTTTTAAATCAGATGCATAAAACTTAGTGAGGCTGGATTAGGAGATGTAGTTGTTGTTTTTTCGTCATTATCCGAGCACGCATGCACAAAAACAGAGAGAAAGTCCCCGGGAACGAATCATTAACTGAATTTTCGTGACAGTTTCATGAACTGTTGGGAGACTGTCTTGGCGTCGTCCAAAGGGAGATTGCACCGTTAAAAACGGCAGACACACACATGCGTCACAACGCACAACATGGACACAAAAAAACACCCTAGACTAGAATGGAATAGTCCTTCATTAAGCCCACTTTATTACCTAATACGTTACATATCAAATGCTAGAATAATACATACATAAGTGTGAATTAAAAGCTTGGCGTGATTAATAAAAACAGAACACGTAGAAGACTTTCTGTGTGTGTATTGCGAGAAATCTTGTTTCATGTGAAAGGGTTGCAGGATGAGATAATCAAAACCTAAAAGCAGGATTTTGGAAGCCAAATACTTGGAGATTTAGCCGCTACAACTGCAAGGAGTGAATGCCCAAGCAGTATTTTCCACAAACAGGTAATCAATGATTGATATAAATAGCTGCTGTCTTGATAGATCAAACTTCCCTGGTTGTTTTTCTCTTTCAGTTTTTTTTTTTACTTTAGACAGCATTTTTTGGAATTTCTGCATTTGAGAAACATTGCATTGGAATTTTAAAAGAAG